TTGTACACAAGTTGTACACAAAATTCCCCTAATTGCCTGTGTACACAGGCAATTCGTTAAAAAGGGGGTAGGAGTTGATGCCAAATTGTCTGTGTACACAGACAATGTACACATTTTGTGTACATCTTGTGTACACCAAGAATGGTCCTTAATTTTAAGTGTGATTCTAGGGCGGACGGCAGACAGAAGACTTGTTGTCATTTTGTAACCTGCTTACTATACGTTTTGTTGTGATTTTTTTTGGGGGGGTCTCTTATGATAATTTAAGTCACTTTCGTTAAAAAAATGTTCTTTTACACGTCGTGTTTTTCTATGCATCCCTTATTTTGTCTGTATGTATAAAACTATAAATAATTCATCAAACAAAAAAATCCAAAGTTATTAATCAAACAATTTGAACTTGTAAATGCACGTGTGCGTAGAACGATTATCGTAGTATTTCGGTCTTTCAAAAATGATCGAATTCAATCCAATGTTAAACTTAAAATTTAAAACTTAAAATATACTCTGTATGTCCTATACTCACCCGTCATCACTATCAGTTTATCACACATTCACAGTTTCTTTTTTTTGCATTCAATGTCTTTTTTTTTGAAACATTGTATCTATTAAGAGATATAGATACATATAAATATATTAAATACACTAAAGTAAATACAAGAGATGCTAAAACCATTCATTCTAGTGAATCACTTGGGAGAACTCTATATGATACTAAAATAAATAACACAATTTTCTGAAATTTCACCACTGTAAACTGGCTTGATGAAGCAACCTCTTATTATTTCAACCTAAAAATGAACTTTCACTATTCGAGCATGGGGCTAATGGCCCAATGCTTTAAGAATACTGCTATTTATTCTTTTTCTGTCATTTGTTGTTTTTCTTCTTGGAACTTGACATTAGAATAAAGTTACGGTAGAGGACTTGAATAATACTATAATTTTTGTTAGTTTTATATGGATAATTGGGACGCAAAGGTAAATATTTAGAGATAATTCTCCTTTTAAAATCTCTCACCATTTAAATAGATTCTTTTAGTTGATGGAGGTAATAGCCTGCTTATAGTGGAAATAGATTTAAGCTAGAAGTAAACTAAAATAGTTTATAATATCCTATAATGTACATGTTTAGTCAAGATGTTTTGGAGTTTGTCGATCTCACCAACATGTTTGTTTTTTAGCGCTGCTTTATTTGACCAGCATTAGAAACAATAAAATGATATTGTGTAGTTATGAGGTCATTGCCTCATGTTTAACTATGATCAGTTAGCATTTGACATTTTATTTCATTTGAGTGTTACCGCTTTTCCTTGATGGCAGGGGGTGTTTTACCTTATGATTTGGTTTCCTTTATTTGTTTGCTTACCCGCTACTTGGCTAGAATATTCTGATTTTCCCAAGCTCAAAATGTCTAAGCGAGGGCGGGAGGATCGGCCGGGAACAAGTTCCCTATGTTGTCGCTGGGTTTGCCGGTGGCGGCGACGGTCAACTGCGCCGATAACACTGGGGCTAAAAACCTCTACATTATTTCCGTCAAGGGCATCAAGGGTCGCCTTAGTTAAATTCAGGTGGAGGAACCTCATCCTACGTCACTTCAAAAGGTGATGTTACTGAAGTTGGGATTATCATGTCTCTGTGTGATTTATCATCTCTTTTATTTCATTAAAACGGGCCTTTAGTTTTAATATCTCATGTCAATTATCCATCTTAAGTGGTGGATAATATGATGATATGCAAAAGGAATCAACTCTTATTTTAGTTTGTTAGTAACTGTTGTAGTGTTCAAATCAAAGGTGGTTTGTGTTATAATGTAGTTGAAGTCAAATATAGTTAATAATAAATGTCTTAATCATATTGTAAAGGTAATAAAGACTTCGTATAATGTTAATATGCAGGAAAGTAATTTTTGCTTTCATAATATGGAAATTGTGTTTGTATCTAGCTAGCTTATGTTATCACCTTTACAATATGATTAAACATTAATCAGCTCATGTTTTACCATATTGCACGGAATAAACAAGCTCAAGGTATATATCGGTTTGAACTATCCTGGCAGATTGTCATTTTTAGCGTTGCACAATGTGTGGCAGATGAATATGTACAAGAAAATGCATAAGTAAGATAATAAGGGGAAAGTGGAGGAACATGATTTCCAATCCAAAGAACGTAACTTCCATCCACTCGGATTCAACCAGATCATGGATGGTTCGGTGGGTTCTATCATTCCAATTTAACTTTCAACATTATGATAGTACACCTACATTTTGATACTGTTTGCTATGTATCATATACCAGGTTGTCTATCATAACAATGATATTCATTTTCCATAAATATGTTGTAATATAACCATTGCACCTTCTAGCAGTGAATCTCTTTGATTCAAAATATGAAACCATGATTATTAATTTGGGTGAATGTAGGAAATAATGTATCGTTGTTTTGCAGGCATAAATTATCAATTGAAGGCACTGGAAGAGGGAAAGGATTGAGAAGTGCAGCCCGGAAATGAGTTTTCACAAGACTAATTTGTATAAGGGTACGTTATATGCATGACAAAGTTAAAAGGAAAACATTTCATAGGAATGTAACTAGGTTAGTGTCCCAAAATGGATGGAAGTATCAGGGCGTCGACAAGGCAGTTATAATGAGAAATGGATGGAGCGTAACTATGTTTACCGCTGGAACAAACAGCCTATTTGAGCAAAGAGTAGTAGTTGACCAGAGCTTATGTATTGCAACAACTTAACAAAAATTTTATGTTTATGTTGAAACAAGGATTTTCACTGATAGCATAAATGGCAAATTTATAAGCATACCAAAAGTTTTTGTGCATCGAGATGCAAGGGTTGGTATCATAAAAGTGTCAACAATATTTCTCTTGATGAACTGCGTAGTAAATGCCTTTTGCTCATTGGTGTTCATTGGTTGTACCAGATTTATGTTTTGGGATATTTTATATTGGATCGACTACACTAAATTTCAACAGATCAAACCAACCCATGTTTCAATATATGTAAAATAAATAAATGCATAAATAAATAAACACATAAAAAAAAATTTATACATATGGAGGTTTATAAATCAAATCATTTCTGTCTTACAAAGTTTATTTGCAACATAATTGTTTTTGAAATATTTCAAGGTGACACATTTTCAGGACTAAAACATTCAAGTTTTAATAGGTGAGGATTTTTTTCAAAAAGTAAAAAATAGGTTTGAAGATGTGCATTTAACTTTTAAAAATGTAAAATATTATTTAGTCAGATAAGCCATGCAACACAAGCAATTCCCTCTAATGGTTAGCTGTACGTAGGGGTGGACCCGGGCCGGTTCGGGCCTGGGCCCGGCCGGGCCTCGGGCCAGAAAACTGGGGCCCGAGCCCGAACCGCCGGTGGCCGGTTCCGGTTCCGGGCCAAACCAGGCCGGGCCAAACCGGTCCTTTTTTTTTTCGGTTCTCCTATTTAACCCCCTACCCCTACCCCTCAACCCCAAACCACTCCAAACCACCTCAAATGGCCCAAAATACCTAATCCAACCCAAAACTTAAAAAAAATTCAAAAAAAAAAATAAAATCCGGCCCGGACCGGGCCCGAACCGGCCGGGCCGGTTCACCTAAAGCAGGGCCCGAGCCCGGACCGCCCATCACCCGGGCCGGGCCAAACCGAACCGATGGACCCACCAGGCCCCGGGCCGGGCCGGGCTAAACATGAACCGGGCCGGGCCGGTTCGGGTCGGGCCGCCCGGCCCGAGTCCACCCCTAGCTGTACGATGACGATCAATAAGAGTCAAAACAAGTCGTTGAAAAAATGTGGATCATTCTTACGATGACCGGTTTTCATCCATGTAGAGCTTTACATCGATATATGTATCTAGAGTCATGAGTTCAACCGGTTTAAAATTTCTTATATGTGATGACATGGAAAACCAACAAATTCCACATTAAATTTGATGTGCAAATTCAAATTCAAATTCAAAGGCAAATGTTATGGACTCATTTAGGAAACTAACTAAATTACTGTAAAATAAAATAACTTTTCATCCCGTGCAACGCACGGGCGAAAAAACTAGTTTAAAACTTAAAATATACTCTGTATGTCCTACTCACCCGTCATCACTATCAGTTTATCGCACATTCACAGTTTCATATTTATTTGGGTTACCTAATTTTAGATATTTTTAATTTTTTATTGGGTAAGGTTTAGGCCTCCCCAAGTTCCTTTTAATTTGCTCTCTGTTGAATTTTTTGTAAGAGGTCTCGGCGTAGTCCCCCTCTTGATTGTATGAACTTTTTATTTCAATAAAATCTGGTAAATGCTGTCCGGCATTTACCCCACTGATTTTGGTGGTTGACCTTCCGGGTTAAAAAAAAACACATTCACAGTTTCATACCATCCACACCTTTGAGATATACTACTCCCTCCGTCCCATTTTACTTGTGTTACTTTCCGTTTGGGTTGTCCCAAAATAAATGTCTCCTTTCCTTTTTCGAAAAGAAATATGTGGCCTACATCATTTCACTTAATTATATTCAAATCTCACACACTTTTTACTTTTTAACTACTTTATTAATAATCGTGTCAAGTCAAAATGACACACATAAAATAAAATGAGACGGAGGTAGTATTACTATTTTCAATAAAAACTCTTACTTCCAGATGGTTATTAAATATTCCGTATATTATTTTGAATGTAAAGAAAAACATGTGGTTAAATTCGATGCAAAGTTGCAATACACTTCTGATAAAAAATTTATGGAGCTCTATATGATTTCACTGTGGAGTCATATAGCCTATGTGGCCTCATAACAATCATTCATAATCATTCATTTCTATAGTGGAATTATAGTGGAGGAACCTACTTCACAAATGAATGATTGTGATGATGTAACATGTGATATACTATCTTTGTCCCTTAATACTTTGCCAAAGTTAACCGGCACGGAAAATAATAAAACAAAAATTGTGTAATTGAAGTTTATACAGAGGAGAGAGAAATAAGAAACACAAAATATTACGTAGTAATTAAAAGGAAAAGCTACCAAGTTTAGTTTTCAGGGACGTTCTAAAAAGGGAGAGATGACACAAAAAAAAAGGGAGTATGGAGGAATGAAATCTCTCCACTTCTGGCCCGGCTAGCTCAGCCTCCATGCTGGAGCAGTGAGCTTCTGCACGAGTGCACGGAAGGTATCCAGTAGTACTCCGTATGTAATGATAGCCTTTTTCTCGACTACATCTTTTCGTTTTGCCACTGCTAGGTTTTTCTTGAGACCCGTACCGAAATTCTTCGTTGTACAAGTCTTCTCTGAAATTTTCATTTCTGCGTTTTGCTGATGGCCTTGTACGATACAACGGTTGCAATTACACTATATCGTTTGATTTTTTGTAGTTCGCGGGCTTGCTAGTAGTGATTATGTCTGTGCCGAGGTTACTGACTTACTGCTTTTGTTTACATGGATCCGGGAGGATTTGTCAATGCCATGGTAGTGACGACTGGCCTATCATGTTTAGGAAATCATTATGTGTGTGCCCAATTATAATATGATTTTTTGGAATATGAATTTACTCTATTCTGTCCCCTCCTATGTGACCTTTTCACAATTTAGCTTTTAACACTGTATTTCATATAGTTGCACTTGAATGATTTGTTTTAGAATCATGGGATTATGCGGAGCACTACACTTACATTATCTTATTTCAATGATATATTGATGTGCACACTAAGAGGATTAGAGGTTAAATAATTCTTCTACCGGGTTAAAAGAAATCTTGGTAGAATGGGAAATAGTATGAAGGGTAAGGTGATAGATTTGGTTTCATTACTCCATAGGAATGATAGGATTACAACTTTTTTCAGGAGGAAGGCAAGGTCACATACTCCACATTCAATAAGATACTCCATGCAAAACTTGAGTATTCATACACTCAGAATGATTTGTATGGAGTTTATTTATACTTTGAGGGATACCAAACACTTACCATTTATACTTTAGTTCACATAATTCTATAGGAAATTATCTTACCTCAAATTGCTATGCTGCTATTTCCTGGGAAAACTCCATAAAAGACTATTGAACAAATTTATTATGACATGTGCCCACATGGCATGTGAATTCACCATTTTATGTCACATATTTGATCTGTTTATTATTATTTTTTTGTAGACATTTTCTTGGTTGGTTCTTACATTCATATTTGAATCACTTTTCAGCTTTAAAAGGTTTTGGTAAACATCTTCTAGCAGTATGGATAATAACTCTGAAGGGGCCATAGACAGTGTAGAGGGAAAACCTTGTAGAAGAAAAAGAAGCAATCTATATCGCCGTCCTCAAAATGACTCTCATTCACCTCCAGATGTCTATGCTAGCTCTTCTATGTCATCTATGCTGCCCTCAACTAGTCAGAGAAAAGGATCAAGTGGTGACAACTTTGATGCTATTTCAGGGGTAGCGTACTCTAACCTCAATGAAACTGAATATTACCAAAATGCTGGTGGCAAAAATACCCATCAATTTCATTCCATAAGTGATGTCTATCCCAGCATAGGAACTAAAGATAATTTAGCAACTGCTACTGTGAGCAATTTGGAAACATTTGGAAGGATAGGAAGTGATTTCCAATCTGGACAATCAGGAGCATTGTCGCACGGAGTTGAAAGTCAAGTCAAGAAAGTAAAACTTAAGGTTGGCGGTGTTACTAGGACTATACATACAAGCTCTGGTTCTGGGCATTTGTTGGCTAAGTCATCATCCTCATCAAGTGTTGCTCACCAACATCAAAAGGTTACTTCTCTAATTTGCATTTTTTAGGAAAAACTCATTAAATATTACTACCTCTTTGTTGCTAAGGTTGAGGCATGAGGAAGTGGCACAATTATTAAGAAAAATGGAATTATGCGGTTGGTATAAAATTTGGAATGTATGATTAAAGTAAGGATGAATTGGAACCACACAAATATTACAAAATATGTTATTAGAAAAACTGAATGGGATGGATAAAATGGGAAAGATGAGACAAAGATAGTGGGACGGAGGGAGTACTAGTTAAACTGCCTGTTGGACGATAATGTTAATTTTTTATTTTCGGTCAATAATATTATCTTCGCAAAACGCAGCTACAAACGGCCAACTGACACTATCAATTATCAACACAATTACCAAGAGGCAACTAGCCTGCGACAGTTGCCGGTTGGTAATTGCTTTTGTGAGATCTTTGTCCTAATTTTGTCCAATGGGTATCTAATAAGTAACATTTATGGAAAACCCCTTTGTTTTTGTTTGTAATATCTTTTTACTACTCTTGAACTCCATGGGTTATGACCTAAGAAAATCATAATGGCCCAAAGTAAACACAATGAGTTCAACTGTAATTGATGAAATGTTTGCTAAAGCTGTTACAAACTTGCAAATGGTTGTAGTTTGGGTCAAACTGATGTCTGCACTTGAAAATTTGCAGGATAGTTCAGACAAGGGAAATGTCTTGCAAGGTGTTCCGTGGAAGGACTTCTCGAAGAATGGATTTATTTTTGGGAGATCTAGTTCTTCAGGGGATAGCCCTCTCAAGCAAACTGCTAAATACAACCCAGCACATACAAGCAAACATTTCTCTAAAACATCCAAATCAGGCGAATTCAACACTGAGTATGACGATGATGATGATGCTGAGATTCGTTTTCTTGAAAAACTAAAGACCTCCAAATTTGCTACAAGTCGTGGCGGAGCATATGATGAAGATGAAGGAGGAATTAAGAAGCTGCGGAAGATTTCAAGAGTCTTGAATCAGACTGGCAACATTTATGATGTAAAATCATGGGATTACAACCCCATCAAAACATCCCAAGAGAGTATTAAGTTCAAATCAGTTGGAGAATTTGGGGATAATGATTATGTAAAAGAGGACGAGGAGTCATTATCTGATCATGAGTTAAGACCTAAGATGAAACAATGCAAGGATTTAGGTCGAATATCAGGGAGTGCTAGGAATGAAATGGCTATGACTACACGAAAGCGTGCCCAACAAACTGGCAAGGAAGTATCATCCATTTCCAGTATAGGTGCAGTTGAATTTTCTCAGGGACTACCACCTCATCCTAAAAGTCAGTGCCAATCGATATGTACGTGTGTTTCCAATTGTGGGTAAGTATATCCTTTCATTGCTATCTCGGTTTGTTGCAGAGCAAAAGGAGAAACTCTCCGAAGTTGAACAACAACTGAAAAAAGCGGAAGCTGCTCAGAGGCGCAGGATGCAAGCTGAAAAAGCTGCTCAAGAATCCGAGGTCTCAAGATTTTTCTCTTAATTCATAATTTCTTTGATTTGATGGAGAACATCGAGTTGTGTAAGGAGACATGCTCATAATTCATAATTTCCTTGGCTTGATGTCTACAGGCCGAGGCAATCAGGAAAATCTTGGGTCAAGATTCTAGCAGAAAGAAGCGAGAAGATAAACTAAAGAAGAAACAAGAGTCAGCACAGGTGACGATACTTGAAAATTGATCCCTTCTTTCCTAGTGGTCATTTTGTTTTTGGAAAAGTTTCTTGAACGTTTAAGTAACTATCCATTGGCCAAATGCTAATTTTCAATTTTAGGGAAAATATGTTACCAGTTTACTAGTAACAAATAACAATTCCCCCCCCCCCCCCCCCCAAATAAAAATAATAATAGGTATCTAATACTCCCTCCGTCCCTAAATAATATGTTAGAGAGCAGGAGGCAGTTGGGCCGATGCTCCAGGAGGAGGCAACTAGGCCGTTGCTTCAAGAGGACGGGCCTCGCCCATTATTGGTTTACCGTCGTCGCCAGCGGGCCTAGATGGGCTCGATTGACTGCTGGGTTTTATTACTTTATTTCATTCAATTGTTATTTCTAATAAACTGCTGGGCCTAGATGACCATATTTCTCGATTATTCATTATCGAGAATAAAGATTTGGTTTGAGCCTAAGGCTGGGGAGACGTTAATATCATCTGCTAGGGTTTTCAGCTTCTATCAATTTGGTCAGACTCAGAAGTTAATATCAGACGTTAATATCATCTGCTAGGGTTTTCTGCTTCTATCATAATACCGCATCCGTCCCGCTTAAAGGTTCCCATTACAAAATGACATGGTTATTTAGACAATAATTAAATAAGGCATTCAAGTGTATTTTGAGAAATAATTTTGATGAGTGTATAATATAAGAGGTCATTGATGATAACTGTGATGTTATAGATTGTCATTTAAGATTGTTAATTGTTTCCTAAAATAGAAATGAGAACCTTTATATGTGACGTTCAAAAAAGGAAAGTGAGAACCTTAGAATGGGATGGAGGGAGTAGTTATGTATTTTCTTTTTGGGCTGTCCCAAAATAACGGTTATGTTTCCTTTTTTGGCTAATGATCTTATATACCATTCATACTTCACCAGTCCTTTTACTTAAATCGACACTTGGTCATTTCAACTTTACTTGCATTTTCATTGTTACAACAAAAGTAAAGGATAGTTTAGGTATTTTATATCATTTTCTTAATCTACAAGCTCTAACAAAGTGTCACCAATAAATTGTGATGGAGGTAGTAGTATTTTAACTAATTTTCAAGGAGAACCACCTTCTGTTTATGCTTTGTACTTTTTATGTTGCAGGAGAGGAAAACAAAAGCAGCAGCTCATCCATCAAATGCTATCAGATGGATACTGGGTCCTTCTGGAACAGTTGTAACTTTCCCTAGTGAGATGGGCCTCCCAAGCATATTTGAGCCCAAGGCCTGCAGGTGGAGAGTGTTTACAAGCTTTACATATTTTTTGTCTTATTTTGAATATATCCTACATATATGTTTTTCTCCAATCTTTTTATGCACATGCTTTCTATGGTAGGTATTGTTTGCCAGAGCTTCTGAAAAACACTTTTTACTGATTGCTTTAGAAAAAGAATAAAGTAGTGTTTTTATGTTGATGCTTCTACTGAACTTGAAGTAATTCAAAACTAAAAGGTGTAAGCAGGGTCGAGGTTGCTTTAAACTGTTCTACAATTTTCTATAACATTTTACTTTAATAATATACCCAAAAGTATTTTTTACCAAACACTTAAACTTTTATTTATTTAAACCACTTTTTGTTTTTCAAGCACTGCAAACTTTTACTACAAATCACTTTTTATATAACCTGCAAAATAAATCACTTTTCAAAAGTATAAGCAAACTCAAACATTCCCTCCCTAATCCTCTTTTTCCCGCACGATGATATCGGGTATATCTATGCATTCACATGCTCTAGTTGATTTCAATTTTGAGTATTTCAGTTACCCGCCTCCGCGTGAGAAATGTGCTGGTCCATCTTGTACAAATGTGTACAGGTATCGAGATTCCAAATCAAGACTTCCTCTATGCAGCCTTCAGTGCTACAAGGAAATACATAAGAAGGTGGAACTTCTTGGTGCATGTTGATTATTATGTTGTCTATCGATTTTTATGTTTTAAATGTGAGTGGGCACTTTTTGAGCATTTGTCCATCTACTATGCAACTTTGTTTAGGAAGATTTGATGTCGTAGTTGAATGCAAAATCATTTTGTACAGCTTTTGAACATGATATAACGTCTCAGCTCCCAAAACCATAGCCATTGGTTACCAAGATCTAGGATGTTTTCTTTTGTACTGTTTTCAATCTCACATCGGACCAGACTTCCATAGTTCCATGTGGTTGAGCAAGCGGTCCAGCTTATTGGTAGCCAACTCACTCTCCCATATGGGAGGTCCGGGGTTCAAAACTTCATGGAAGCAGGTTCAGCCCACTTTACCCCAGGTCCCCCAGCCCCCCCCCCCCCCCCCCCCTTGACCTCCGGGGTAAAAAAATCGACCATGTGTTTTGTGACTTGAAGTTGAGAATATGATTCCAAATGAAAGTGCACTCTTATGAACAGGTGTTGTTCTTTGAGCTTTCTCCGGTGTCTTACTTTCGTATTTGTTTTTGCATCAGAAGAATGGATGTAAATATGTAATGGGACTAGGCATGGACCGGTTCCGGGCCGGTCCAAACCGGCCCGGGATTCCACTGGGTCCGGGTCGGTCTCGGGCCGGGCCGGTTCAATGTTTTTTTTTGCTTTTCTGATTAACCCCCCCAAACACCCAGCCCAACCCAGGGAAAACAAAAAAATGTAAAAAAAAGACCCGAACCGGGCCCGGGATGGTTCCTATTTTCCATGAACCGAGCCCGCTCTTAGTAACACCCGATTTGGGTCGGCCCAGACCAGTCCAGGGCCTGGTTGACGGCCCGGTTCCAAACAATGTTGGGCTGGGCCATGGGCCGGTCGGCCTGGAACCGGTCCATCCCTAAATGGGACCTGCTCTGGTTGAGTTTCAGTTCCATGCCAGTCGCTTGCACGTAGGGGTGGACTCGGGCCGGGTGGCCCGACCCGGAACCGGCACTGTTTCGGCCCGGCCCGGTGGCCCAGTCAGTGACTGGTCCGGGTAGGCCCGACCCGCTGGGGTTCCGGTCCGGGCTCGGGCCCCCTAAATCACGAACCGGCCCGGCCGGTTTGGGCCCGGTTCAGGTTTATTTTATTTTTTTTCCCAATTTTTTTTTTTTGTTTTTGGGTTGGGTTGGGTATTTTGGGCCATTTGGGATGGTTTGGGGTGAGGGGGGTGGGAGTTAACTAGGAAAAGGAAAAAAAAATAACTAAGGCCCGGCCCGACCCGGACCCGGGGAGTACCCGGGCCGGTTCCAGGCCCCCCATTCCTGAACCGCCGGCCTGACCCGGACCCGGGGAGTACCCGGGCTGGTTCCAGGCCCCCCATTCCTGAACCGTCGGCCCGACCGGGTCTAGGTAGGCCTGGACTCGGGCCGGGCGGCCCGACCCGGAACCGGCCCGGCCCGGTGGCCCGGTCCACCGGCGGTTCTGGTCGAACCGGTCCGGTGGTTCCCGGTTCCGGGCCCGGGCCTTCCATATGGTGAACCGGCCCGGCCGGTTCGGGCCTGGTCCGGGCCGGAAATAATTTTTTTTTTTATTTTTTTTTTGAAATTATTTTATGTTTTGGGTTAGATTAGGTATTTTGGTCCATTTGAGGTGGTTTGGGGTGGTTTGGGGTTGAGAAAGAGGGGTAGGGGATTAAATAAAGAAGCCAAAAAAAAAATAGGGCGGTTGGCCCGGCCCGGAACCGGTCCGGTCTGGCCCGGAACCGGTCCGGTCTGGCCCGGAACCGGCCCGGGCCCGAACCGGCCTGAGTCCACGCCTGCTTGCACGTCATGTGAACAAAGACACTAACGAGGGAAACTGGAACCTTAACTGGGAATCTCAGGCCGGTGGATAAAGACATAGCCCGAACTGGTCTATTCCTACTTTGGAGGAACTGGAGAACTCGTCTATCTTTTAGGGGGGAAAATCTACCAGTCCTAGTTTGTTATCATAAATGGGACCTGGTCCACTCCTGAGTCCTGAATGGGTAGGGTGATCTTTGTTCAATCATTTGTGGGATATGAGTTAAATGAAGTAGTGAGAGTTTATTGTTGAATTTTTTTGTTGTTTTCTGTCAATAAACTCTTGCTCCGCCGTAAAAGGAATATGGGTGTTTTCAAGAGGATAGACTGACTCAGATTTTTTCCCAAATTCCAAAATAAACATGTTTAGGAATAACTGTAGACCCCTGCAGTCACTGAACATTATATTGAATAACTGTAATTCAAAATTTTTACGTTTTCAAGAATAGGGAATATACGTATTAAAATAATTAATAGGTTTGATTGATGAATTTGATCAATTGTACTCCTAGAGGAGAAAAATATTTGGAAGTTACAAGCTTCAAGTTCATGGATTGAGATAAATACACTGCAACAATTGTAAACATCTACAATCAGTTAACTACCAGGGAGGACACCCTTCTTCAGCTAGATTTTTTTTTTCTCTTTAGTATTATTGCCTACTTCTGAGAACCAAGTAGAATGCCCTCCAACAAGGTCAGGTACTGTCAGTTTCAGGTCAAAAGTTATAGACTGAAAAACTAATGCCAACAAGTTTACGTCTGCCATTGCTCTATGCTCTGTACCGAGTAACGGGAACTTGTAGTGTTCCCGCATGTCTTTCAGTGATGCTTTTGGAAGGCCCTTTGCGCCTAAATGCCCTAAATGCCATATAAGCTCAGATCAATTATAAAAGTCAGAGATAGCACAAGGAAAGGCAAAAGAACAAATAAACAAGAAAATTGTAGAAGATGAAGTACCTGCAGATTTCATTACTTTACGAGCCAGAGGAAGTGTGTCAATAAACAACCAGTTTGAAGGAATGGAGTAACGACATCGGCTAAATTCGTTGATTAGAAAAGGGACATCGAAACTACGAGCATTGTGAGCAATCCACACTACATACCCACCAGGTTTCTGGCGGCTTCTCACATATTGTAACAAGATGGGAATTAGGTCCTCCATCCTACACAAATACATGATAGTTTACAGTCCTCTCTATCAAATGAACTGTAGTTACCGAACATTCCTCTTGTTCACATTTTTGTACTTTCCGTGACAACGATCCTCTCTATCAAATCTTTCTTCATTGCCCTATGTTCATTTCCGTAGATAAAACCAGTCTTACAGGAGTCCTATCAAATTTTCCCTTCTATGTTTATGCTACATTTCAATCCTATAGTACAAAAAAAGAAAGCTAGGGCAGTGAAGTCCCTCTCGTTCACATTTCACCTCATTGAAGAGGCACATTTATAGAGCTATGTGAGTGACTTATGGATGAATCTGGAAGTCGTTGCGAAACTATATTTGGACAACCCATGAGTAATAACCCATGAGATAATTATGTAATTTTCTCACAAGATGACTTCCAGTGCACATAAGATATGATGAAGTACTGGTACATGTGCGACCTTTTCAACTACTCCTAATTCTATTTTTTCATAAAAGTTCACACTTTTAATTTCTAAGCTGGACAACGCTTTTTATTGATTACATACGGAGCATTTACAATTTTACACTTTTCACATTACAAGTGGAAAACAAAAGGACAGAAACTTTTCCATAACTTAGTTCGGGATTCTAACTCATCATTCTCCTACTATAATTCAATACATTCTTTTTTGAATTGGAGTTTTATTATAGCTCTAATGTATATGTATCAGTCCATAGAGTTTTTTTTCCCACTGAACATTCTAGTCAAGTAATATGTCTCAGCATTTTATAATGTCAAGATTGTATCTCTAGTTCTTTTCAAAAGGCAGACTAAATATTCTTCCCCTACATCAACCAACAAACCATTGCACAAAATCTCAAATGGGCTTCAAAGTAAGAAGTTTAATTTGGGACGGAGGATTATTACTTTTAAGCAACATCAAAATAAATCTACTATCACTCAAATCACAATATTAGAAAGCCCTAGTTCTTACCTAAACTTAATCAGCAGGATAGGTTGGAAAATTGAACCTAAAATAAGTCATGCAAATATGCAATCAAAACAAACCAACAAATGACACAAATGCAGACAGTAAGATGCATACACTACAGGAATCTACCAATATACTTCATTTAATATACCTGGGGACATCAGGCCTGCAGACCATATGAGTCGAAATTCCATGAACAGAACCATTTTTCACATAGCACCCAGGATTGACCAGAGTCTGTAAAGTGCTATTTTCACCTCCAACTAGGTCCCTCAATGCAATCTCTATTATTCGACATCTCTCACTGCTAAACCCAGTGGTCTCAATATCAAAAGCGATAAAAGTTATAAGTCTAGCCAATTCTTTATTTTCAGTAATCTTTTCCCGAATATCATAGTATTCATTTTTTTCAAGCGCGGTTATTTCTGATTTATATAAATCTACTTTAGATGTAGTAATCTCATTTGATATCTCTTCTCTAATAGTTTTTTTGCTTTGTATACTATCCACTGTTTTCCCTTCACTTTGGGTTGTTAAGGGGGCTCCTCCATTCTCAGTCCTGTTACATCTGTCTGGCCCGTATTTACATGAGGCAAGAACTTTAAATCTAAACCTAACACACCCACTCTTGCTAAAATGATCAAAACCTTGCCACCAAGAATTGGCTAAGGTATAAGCTCGGCATTGAGGAGACATTATAAGTGGGAAAAACATGGCATCTAGTATGGTCCAAATTTAACACTTGCTCAAAATTCAAGATGAAATTTAATACGGTGGAGTAATAGCAATCGACCTGCAGAAACATAAATGAAAGAGTATTGACCATGTAAATTTGCTTAGGTTACCAACATTCAACCATAAGTCCATAACAAGTAAATAACAGAATTCGAATGCAATTCCAAAAACTACACATGTAATGAACCATCACATGTCAATCATATTGCAGTTTTAAAATAGTCTGTAATTCATAGAACCATGGTAGTGTTGAAGGTTGCAAATCTATTCAAGAATAAGATAATACACTAAAAAGAGTGATGGCACTATAAATCAAATCATGTCTCGAGTGCAAAAACTTAATGCTGTCCATGAGTCCATCTCTGGTTCAGATTGTCGCTGATATTGAATACAAAAATCTTATCATCATTTCTGGATTCATATTTATTCATCGTTTGGAATTTCGAATATATGTATCTTTATCATCATCATCTTCATCGCCGTCAGATTAAGATTTATTTGTAGTTTAATATTCATACCATTTATAGCTTCAACCACCCTAGTGCATGACCAACATTTTGAAAGCTGCAAATGATTCTAATGATAGTTGTTTGACATTAATGAACCCAATTTTTTAAACAAAGCGGTTAGAGTTTAATTGAAGAGCAGTAGCACACTCATGAATGATCTTATCACATGAAGTAAAGGAAAATCACTCTCACATACACATCACACTAACAATTAGATAGAGAACCACAGCTTCAAGTTTATCTTTTAACAGATCCAGGTGGAGAGATTATAGATCATGTGAAGATTCAGGGGAAACCTAAATGGAAGGGAATTCAGATTATACCAAAAAAACTAAATTATAGAATAAAAACGAAAATATCTGGGCTCTAATAGAGATCATATTCCAAATTTCCAATGTCAAACATTCTAAAACAATCGAGGAGGTAAATCGCGTCTAAAAAACTAAACGAACAAGAGATTCACATACATGTACCTTTACACCTCATCCAATTTTTCGATCAACTACTCATTCGTGAAAATTTGAAGATATTATGCAGGACAAGAGATAAGAAGTAAGAACATGCCTGATACCGGTTCCAATATACTGTAGAGCGCAATCACTCATCGCTGGTGCATACATCGATGAATAGAAGGAAACACGAGTGACGTGAGGGGGGAATGCATTTCATGTGAGAAATAGAGAATGCAAAAGACAAGGTGAAGAGATCCTGAAAAGGCGAAGTGAAATGGCTCACAGATTATTTATTTTCTTAGGAATATAAGAAATGTTGACTCCATGTTCGGCAGCTAAATAAAGTTGACAAATTATTCTACCCTCTCATTATTATCAAGTAAATGCAGTTTTGTCATTCAAAACTATATGAGGTTAAGAATAACAATGGAGCTATAAATTATTAAGGGTAAAATGAGAAGATAATAAAAGAATGTGTTAGAAATGAAGGATAAATTACAAAAATAGTTGTAATAGTGTATTACTTTAAAATTATTGAGGGTATAATGAGAAAATTTGAGAATGAGAAGATGTGAATGTTACAGAGGGAGTAGTAAATATTAATAGAGGTGGTGAATAATTATTAACAGAATTGGTTAATAATAATTTTATGTTGCAAAGAAAATATATTTACTATTGGTAATATTTTGTTGAGAAATGAGAAATGGAATTTTAAAAAATTGATGCATATATAATTTATTATTGTTTTGGGTTTAGACTTATTATTATTTTTATTTTCTATTTATGAGTCCTTTAAAAAAAATTATGAGCATATTAGTTGAAAAATGTTCATAGTATGCAATACATTATAAGTGTAGTGATACAAAAGCATTCACGTGTTGAGTATCATTGATGTGCTTTACCAAAAATTACACATTTTCTATACAACATTTGTTGTTGTATTGGAGCTTTCTCCACCCAACAAAAATTTCCAACAAATTTATGCTTTTGACTCTTGAAAGCCCACATATATAGTTGCCAATGTGTGATTTACTTTTTTCCAAATAACGTTCAACATGTGCTAGTGTTTGCCCCTAATTTTTGTTGGTGGTCATCACAAAGCTACTAAACATGAGAATTATTTCCTTTGAAGTGTTGGGGCCGTTTGTTTGTTAACTGGGTTTTTATATGTATACTTTGACACAGTCAACTTCAAAAAATTATTTGAATGTCTTCCCGGTCGAATTTTGAGCTGAAATTTGGTATGGATAAACTAGACTTCATGAAGAACATGCTCAAAAAATTTCGTCAAAAAATTCCATTGGGAAGTGCCCGAAATGCCCTCGGCCGGACGGCGGTTCCCGTCAGGCCGGCTGGACAAGAAAAGGACTATATATATATATAGAGGACTGCTCAGGTCCCTCCGGAGGGACAGGAGGGACCGCCCGAACGTTACTGTTTGGGGCGGTTCCCGGTGAAATTTTTCGATAAAATTTTTTTAGCATGTTCCTTATCAAGTCTAGTTTGTCCATACCAAATTTCAGCTCAAAATTCGACCGGGAAGGCAGTCAAATAAATTCTTGAAACTTACTGCACTTTATATATGCGCAGAATGTGTATATTCCGGACCAGTTAACTTGAAAAAATCATTTGACGACCTTCCCGATCGAATTTTGAGCTGAAATTTGGTATGGACAAACTAGATTTGATGAGGAACATGCTCAAAAAATTTCATCAAAAAATTCCACCGGGAAGGTGCCCAAACGGGCTCGGCCGGACGGGGCAGCCCGTCAGGCCGGCCTGATGAGAAGAGATCCATCCATCCATCCATCCATCCATCCATCCATCCATCCACTATCTATCTATCTATCTATCTATCTATCTATCTATCTATCTATCTATCTATCTATCTATCTATCTATCTATCTATCTATCTATCTATCTATCTATCTATCTATCTATCTATCTATCTATCTATCTATCTATCTATCTATCTATCTATCTATCTATCTATCTATCTATCTATCTATCTATCTATCTATCTATCTATCTATCTATCTATCTATCTATCTATCTATCTATCTATCTATCTATCTATCTATCTATCTATCTATCTATCTATCTATCTATCTATCTATCTATCTATCTATCTATCTATCTATCTATCTATCTATCTATCTATCTATCTATCTATCTATCTATCTATCTATCTATCTATCTATCTATCTATCTATCTATCTATCTATCTATCTATCTATCTATCTATCTATCTATCTATCTATCTATCTATCTATCTATCTATCTATCTATCTATCTATCTATCTATCTATCTATCTATCTATCTATCTATCTATCTATCTATCTATCTATCTATCTATCTATCTATCTATCTATCTATCTATCTATCTATCTATCTATCTATCTATCTATCTATCTATCTATCTATCTATCTATCTATCTATCTATCTATCTATCTATCTATCTATCTATCTATCTATCTATCTATCTATCTATCTATCTATCTATCTATCTATCTATCTATCTATCTATCTATCTATCTATCTATCTATCTATCTATCTATCTATCTATCTATCTATCTATCTATCTATCTATCTATCTATCTATCTATCTATCTATCTATCTATCTATCTATCTATCTATCTATCTATCTATCTATCTATCTATCTATCTATCTATCTATCTATCTATCTATCTATCTATCTATCTATCTATCTATCTATCTATCTATCTATCTATCTATCTATCTATCTATCTATCTATCTATCTATCTATCTATCTATCTATCTATCTATCTATCTATCTATCTATCTATCTATCTATCTATCTATCTATCTATCTATCTATCTATCTATCTATCTATCTATCTATCTATCTATCTATCTATCTATCTATCTATCTATCTATCTATCTATCTATCTATCTATCTATCTATCTATCTATCTATCTATCTATCTATCTATCTATCTATCTATCTATCTATCTATCTATCTATCTATCTATCTATCTATCTATCTATCTATCTATCTATCTATCTATCTATCTATCTATCTATCTATCTATCTATCTATCTATCTATCTATCTATCTATCTATCTATCTATCTATCTATCTATCTATCTATCTATCTATCTATCTATCTATCTATCTATCTATCTATCTATCTATCTATCTATCTATCTATCTATCTATCTATCTATCTATCTATCTATCTATCTATCTATCTATCTATCTATCTATCTATCTATCTATCTATCTATCTATCTATCTATCTATCTATCTATCTATCTATCTATCTATCTATCTATCTATCTATCTATCTATCTATCTATCTATCTATCTATCTATCTATCTATCTATCTATCTATCTATCTATCTATCTATCTATCTATCTATCTATCTATCTATCTATCTATCTATCTATCTATCTATCTATCTATCTATCTATCTATCTATCTATCTATCTATCTATCTATCTATCTATCTATCTATCTATCTATCTATCTATCTATCTATCTATCTATCTATCTATCTATCTATCTATCTATCTATCTATCTATCTATCTATCTATCTATCTATCTATCTATCTATCTATCTATCTATCTATCTATCTATCTATCTATCTATCTATCTATCTATCTATCTATCTATCTATCTATCTATCTATCTATCTATCTATCTATCTATCTATCTATCTATCTATCTATCTATCTATCTATCTATCTATCTATCTATCTATCTATCTATCTATCTATCTATCTATCTATCTATCTATCTATCTATCTATCTATCTATCTATCTATCTATCTATCTATCTATCTATCTATCTATCTATCTATCTATCTATCTATCTATCTATCTATCTATCTATCTATCTATCTATCTATCTATCTATCTATCTATCTATCTATCTATCTATCTATCTATCTATCTATCTATCTATCTATCTATCTATCTATCTATCTATCTATCTATCTATCTATCTATCTATCTATCTATCTATCTATCTATCTATCTATCTATCTATCTATCTATCTATCTATCTATCTATCTATCTATCTATCTATCTATCTATCTATCTATCTATCTATCTATCTATCTATCTATCTATCTATCTATCTATCTATCTATCTATCTATCTATCTATCTATCTATCTATCTATCTATCTATCTATCTATCTATCTATCTATCTATCTATCTATCTATCTATCTATCTATCTATCTATCTATCTATCTATCTATCTATCTATCTATCTATCTATCTATCTATCTATCTATCTATCTATCTATCTATCTATCTATCTATCTATCTATCTATCTATCTATCTATCTATCTATCTATCTATCTATCTATCTATCTATCTATCTATCTATCTATCTATCTATCTATCTATCTATCTATCTATCTATCTATCTATCTATCTATCTATCTATCTATCTATCTATCTATCTATCTATCTATCTATCTATCTATCTATCTATCTATCTATCTATCTATCTATCTATCTATCTATCTATCTATCTATCTATCTATCTATCTATCTATCTATCTATCTATCTATCTATCTATCTATCTATCTATCTATCTATCTATCTATCTATCTATCTATCTATCTATCTATCTATCTATCTATCTATCTATCTATCTATCTATCTATCTATCTATCTATCTATCTATCTATCTATCTATCTATCTATCTATCTATCTATCTATCTATCTATCTATCTATCTATCTATCTATCTATCTATCTATCTATCTATCTATCTATCTATCTATCTATCTATCTATCTATCTATCTATCTATCTATCTATCTATCTATCTATCTATCTATCTATCTATCTATCTATCTATCTATCTATCTATCTATCTATCTATCTATCTATCTATCTATCTATCTATCTATCTATCTATCTATCTATCTATCTATCTATCTATCTATCTATCTATCTATCTATCTATCTATCTATCTATCTATCTATCTATCTATCTATCTATCTATCTATCTATCTATCTATCTATCTATCTATCTATCTATCTATCTATCTATCTATCTATCTATCTATCTATCTATCTATCTATCTATCTATCTATCTATCTATCTATCTATCTATCTATCTATCTATCTATCTATCTATCTATCTATCTATCTATCTATCTATCTATCTATCTATCTATCTATCTATCTATCTATCTATCTATCTATCTATCTATCTATCTATCTATCTATCTATCTATCTATCTATCTATCTATCTATCTATCTATCTATCTATCTATCTATCTATCTATCTA